GACCACCGTCCCTTGGGCTCCTTCCCAGCTGTGAACCCTGAACTACTTCCCCAACCTCACTCTACCTCGGTTTTCCCATCTATAAAATGGGCTCCCGTGGCTGAGCTATTACTGCTGCCTACCTGTAGTGCATGGCGTAGTACGGGTAACAAGCCTGGGGTCTGGCCAGACACGCTAATGAATGATTGTCGTTGTGTGACACTGGGGCCAGAGGGAACATCAGAGGTAATGAGGCCCCCAGATGTGAACTTTACAGAGGAGGAAATGGGAGAGGCCGCTGTGAGTTTTCTCTGTGTGCATGGGATCAAGAGCTGAGCTTGGGTGGGTGGGTGGCACGACATAGAGAAGACAAGGCTTCCAAACCTCAGCTTCTTCCTCCACCCGGTGCCTAGGAGAACAGCTCCCCCCACCTGTGCCCCGGGTCCCTCTCTCCTGGGCCAGGAAGGCAGGCAGACGCTGGGAGCCCACGCTGCTCAGCCCTGAGAGTAACGGGATGTCTGTGCCAGGCACTCAGCCCAGGGCCTGGCATGACCAACGGGGGCTGCTGTCAGCAGGACTCCCGGCCCTGCCTGAGACAGGGGCATGGACAGACAGCCTGTCCAGGAGTCCAGGGGCTATGTGCAAGGGCCTCGGTGGGAGCGGTGATGGGAAGGGATGGTTGCCTGGTTACCAAAAATCTTGAGGGAGCTCACCTAGCTGAGCTGCAGACTCATAACCTCACAGGCCGCCTTCCCAGGGTGGCAGGAGGGTCCCCATCCCACCACCACCACCACCGGAGGTTTCCAGTCCAGCCTTCAGCACCCAGGACACAGGGATGTAGGCTGGACCCTGGGCTGGAGGAGGAAAGAGACTTTAGGTCAATCGGGAGCTTGACTGCCTGAAAGTGGGACACTTCTAGGGTGCTCACCATGTATCCGGCCCCTCTCCACCCCTCCCGCACCCGCACACACGTACACACACGTGCACACACGCACACCCACAGCTTGTCTGTGTGCACACACCTGTTCTTAACTGTAATCTGTCTGGTTTATAGACTTTCCCTCTTTTCCTTTTATGCTGCTGGTCATTACTTATTAATTTCCGGTTTTAACTTAAAACCTTAAAAAAAAAAAGATTTTATGTATTTCTTTGAGAGCGAGAGCATGAGCAGAGGAGAAGGGCAGAGGGAGAGAGAGAAGCAGACTCCCCGTGAGCCCGATGTGGGTCTCGATCCCAGGACCCTGAGCTGAAGGCAGAACTTAACCAACTGAGCCACCCAAGTGCTCCTTAAAACCTTTAAGTGATTTCAAACTTGAAGTAAAATTGCAAGAATAGCTACAAAGAACTTCTATAACCCGTTACCCAGAATCACTAACTTTTAAACCCTTTCCACGTGTTTGACAATTCTCTTCTCTCAGTGAGTACAGGCGCTCCCCCCACCCCTTGTCTTGTTCTGAACCATGTGAAATGATTAGGTATCCTGGAGAATAAGAACATTCTCTTACATAAATGGTAACAAATGATCAAATCCAAAAAATGTAATATTGTTACAATGCTTGAAGCTATTAAGATCGTTCTCTAATGTTGCCAACTGCCACAGGAATGTCCTTCATGGTCTGTCTGTCTTTCTTTCTTTCTTTCTTTCTTTCTTTCTTCTTTCTTTCTTTCTTTCTCTCTTTCTTCTTTCTTTCTTCTTTTTTTTTTCTTCCTGGTGTTTCTGTTTGCACTTTAGGAAGCCACCCCGGGCTATCTGTTGCATTTGGTGGCACATCGCCTTGGTCTCCTTGGATCTGGGATGGTTCTTCAGCTCTTCTTGTGCCTGTCATTATGTTGACATTTTGAAGAGGTTTGTCTTTAGGTTAAATTCCTAGAATTTCTGGACCCAAAGTCAATATATCTGTATTTTTGTTAGATGTGTTGGGTTGAACCATGGTCCCCGAAAAGCTCTAGGTGACTGTGGATTGTGACCTTATTTCGCAAGAGCGTCTTTGCAGATGGAAATAAGGCAAAGGTCTTTTTTTTTTTTTTTTTAATATTTTATTTATTTATTTGACAGACAGAGATCACAGGTAGGCAGAGAGAGACAGGGGAAAGCAGGCTCCCCGCCGAGCAGAGGGCCCGATGGGGGGTCCGATCCCGAGCCGAAGGCAGAGGCCCCAATCCACTGAGCCGCCCAGGCGTCCCAAGGTAAGGGTCTTAAGATCCTTCTGGATCAAGGGCCTAACGGCAGTGACAAACTATCCTTACAAGAGAAAGGCCCGGGGAAGACAGGTGGGGACTAGGATATGTGTCTGGAAGCTCTGGGACGCCAGGGACCACCAGCAGCCCCCAGAGCTAGGAGACAGGCCCAGGATGGACTGTGTGACAGCTTCCTGCGGAGAAAACCCTACTGACACCTTACGCTCCCACTCTGGCCCTCCGAAACTGTGAAAAGAATTTATTTCTCTTCTGAAACCACCCCGTGTATGCATCAGTTGTAGGAAGCAAGTAAGTTATGTATCGCCAATGTCCTATAGCACAGAGGGCGCTGCGTGCCCCGTGGGCTCCCCACCGTCAGCACAGTGAGCTGGAAAGCTCTCACAGCTTGGTCAATCCGACAGGCAGGGAATGGCACTGCTGCGAGGTTTTAATTTGCATTTTTTAAAATTAGAAATGAAGCTGAATGTGTTTTCATATATTCCGGCAGCACAGATGAGAAAGAACTGCTCTTTGTCAGTGACGGACTTTGCAAATATATTTTCTCCAGTTTTCATTTCTGTTGACTTTGCCTATGAGTTTTTGAGCAGACAATTAAAAAAAATACTTCTTATGTAGTCAAACTAGCCAATCTTTAATTTCATCTGGACTATGAGTCATGGGCAGAAAACCTTCTACGCCTACATTGTAGAGGAATTAACTGGTGCTTTCTTCTTGTACTCCTCTTTAAAAAAAAAATTATTTATTTGACAGAGAGAGAGAGACAGTGAGAGAGGGAACACAAGCAGGGAGAGTGGGAGAGGGAGAAGCAGGCCTCCCGCAGAGCAGGGAGCCTAATGCAGGGTTTGATCCCAGGACCCTGGGATCATGACTGGAGCCAAAGGCAGATGCTTAGTGACTGAGCCACCCAGGCACCCCTCTTCTTGTACTCCTATAGCTTCTTTTTTTTTTTTTCTCTCACATAAATCTCTGATTCTTAGTTTATTCTTATGTATGGTATGAAGAACGGGTCTTCAGTATCTCCCCCTCCCCAATGACTATCGAGTTGTCCCAATACCATTTATTTAAAAGTCTTTCTTTTTTGAATATTAAATTTCCATGTGTACTGGGGTCTATTTCCAGTCTCCTGAAACTGTGTCACTGGACCTCCCGTGGATTTGTGTTCCAGTGCCACAGAATTAATTAGAGGATCTGTGTAGTTTGCTTTAATATCTACTCAGGCTGGTCCCCTCTCCTCCCCACCCCCACCCACCTTTTCCTTGTCAGTGTTTTCCTGGCTCTTTATTTTTATCTTTCTATATGGACTTCAGGATCATCTTGTCTGTCTCCAGAGGAAAAAAATATTTGCTAGTATTTTTATTGGAATACCATCAAATTGTTAAATGAAGCCAGAGAAGACAGATAGCCCAGTGATGCTGAGGCATCTTATGTAAGAAGGTGTATCTTTCCATTTGTTCAAGTCTAATTTTGCATCTTTAAGGAGTCCTGTCATAATTTTCTCAATGTAGATTTTGCATATTTCTTGTTTATTTCTAAGTGTATTTTTGGGGGCAGGGGTTGCTACTGGGTTTTCTCCTCTATTATTTAACTGGTCATGATTTGTATATATGAAGGCTCATATATACAAATATATGTATTTGTATATATTCAGGCTTGCTGGATTCTTTTGTCACATGAATTTGTTTTATCACTAATTTGCTAGGGTTCTGCAGGTGGATTATAGGCCGTCTGCAAGGAGTGTTGTATTTCATTTTTTTCCTATTCCACCCCTCTGCTTTCTCTTGTTTAACTTCATGGCCTAATACTCCCAGGACAATGGGAAATGGTGCGGAATAGAATGCAGCTTTGTCTTAGTCTTGACCTTAGTGGGAATGCATTTAGTGTTTTCTTATTAAGCAAGATGATGCTTTTAGGATTCAGGTCTGTTTATACCTTCCATATACAATGATCTATCTATCTATCTATCTATCTATCCCTCCCTCCATCCATCCATCCATCCAATTCTTTATCTCAGTTAATGCTTTTTGCCCCAAATGAGGAGGGTAAGCCTCTTCCTCTGGCAATGTTTCTCTAGCGCCCTCTATTGACAAAGTTAACCTCATGTCCCCACCGAGTTCTTGCGGCGCAGGGATAAAGGAAGCCCTTGAGCTTGAAGCAACAAACCCATCAATAGTTTTGCTTTAGACAGTTAATTATATTTTTAAGATTTTTTTAAACAACGTCTTCTCTTTGTTCGCATATATACCCTTTCCGGGACTCTTCATTCTTTTGCGTAGGTCCAAATTTTCCCTTAGAATCATCTCGTTCCAGCCTTAAAAATTGTCTTTAGGGAAGGTGACGAACTTTCTCAGCTTTTGTTTGTCTGGAGAAGAACCTTCATTTTGCCTTCATTTTTGAAGGATTGTTTTGTTTCTTCCTTTTTCCTTTTTTGAAGCTGTCACCACATTCCCCCTAGCACTTCAAATTATGTCATTCTGTCGTGTTTGGGCTTGCATGATTCCTCCTTTTCTAGAAATAATTTCAAACTAACAAAAATTTACAAAAACAATAGTGTTTCCATACACTCTTCCCCAGGCTTCCACATGCCCTGTAACCACAACATGATGGTCAAGGGCTCAAGGTGGCACGCTGCCATTCTGAGCGTGTCACCTGTCCCATTTCATCCCTTCAACCACACCTGCTGGCCTTGACAGTGATGGTGATTTATTTGGACAGAAGAACCTGAAGAAGACAAGGGGGAACCTCCCCCGCCCCGGTCGTTTCTGTGGGCTCTCTGGTACGCAGGGTCAGCCGGGGCTGTGGCTCCCGGGGGGTGGGGGGCGCCCTTAGGTCGGATTCACAACCTTGCCCAGGAAGAGGCTGCTCCACGTGAAGTGGTTGAAGATCATGACAATGAACGGGCGGTTGAAGCGGAAGGTGAGAGGCTCGGGCGCCGTGCGCAGCATGACCCTGGGGGAGTCGGCGGTTTCCAAGCCCTTTTCATCGAGTTGCAGCACAGCCTTATGAACCACCTGTTGGAGATGGGGCGAAGGTGGGCGTTGAGCACCTGCTGCAGGTCGGGAGCTTGCCATGCCTCATCGCTTCCATCCCTCCCACCCTTGGTTTGACGGGCGGCAAAGCTGAGGCTCAGAGAGGGTCACTTGCTGGCTCCTCATCTCAGTGGCAGCCCCAGGATGAGTGCCAAGGTGTGTCCACCTCCTGAACTCAGCTCACACCAAGACTTCTTCCCTAGAAAGTGGGCAGATGGGGCCCACCACAGGGAGATTGGGGGATTCACGGGACTCACTGGACTTCAGTGTCCCCCTCAGGCGCTCCTTACTGGGTCCTGGGCGAGGCCGACCTCGCTTCCTTTGCACCTTGCTAGCCAAACCCTAGGGGCCCATCTCTGCGAAATGCTTCTGCCTACTCACGATGGAAAGGGGCTGTTGAATGGTCTCTTGCTGTGCTCAGAATTAGGAGGAATTCTGAAATCAGCAAAACGCTCGTATAGCTTGTATCAAACACATTCAACAATTCAGAACTGGCTCGTTATTAACATCCTCTGGGGGCAGGGGCTCTGCCTGACCGGGCAGTGAGGAGCCCGAGGCTCTGAAAAGCTCTGCCAACAGGTGCAGGGAGAAGCCGAGCGGGTGTGTCTTGGGAAATGAGGTTTTGAGTCAAATGGACCCCAGGCCAAACGTCAGGTTGACATTCACCAGCTCCATGGCCCTGGTGAGTGAACTACCTTTCCCAAGCCAGAGGCTCCTCCTTTATAAGGAGGGGCTCCACTTACAGGGGGCTACTTGACTCAATCCTTCGCACACCAGGCATTTCACGGAGCACAGACTCTGTGCTGGGCACCACAACGGTCCAAGTCTGAGTGCTGGACAGAGAGGCGGCTGCCTGCTCAGCTGTCTCCTGTCCCCTCTCCTGTTTGGCCACCCACACGACCGTGAGATCCTGTGAGGGCTGGACCATGTCTCAGTAATGGCAGGCATACCCGGTGCCCAGCAGTTCAGGGCACGGAGTGGGCGTCCAGTAAATATTTCCTGAAAGACTGAGGGACCCACAAGGCATAAAGCTGAAGAACGAAGGGAAAGAATGTGGTGGGTAGACTGTCTGATGGGATCGCATTCAGACATTTCCCATTTCCCTGGTTCCTTTTTGGTGTGGAGGGGATCCTTGTCACTAGTTCCCATGTCACCTTGGGGATGTCACATTTTCCCGCTGAGCCTCCATTTACCCTGTTTTAAGAGCAGGGGTGTGGAGCAGACAACCTGGGGCTTAGAGACTTACTCATGGGGGGCCCCGTGTTCCTTATTATTATTTGTACTGTGAATTTGTGGGGAAAAAAAGATGGACTTTAGGGACACTTGCCTCTGACAATGTCAGCTGGGGCTCTCGGGCGATGCCGGAGAAATCCGCCTCCTTGCTGAGGAAGTCTGCAATGCCCATGGCCCCCAGGATGGTCCTGAGGTCGTAGGCTCCGGAGATGGTCACCTTTGGGATGAACAGGTTTACCTGGCTGCTTGAGGGTAAGCAGATGGGGTTAGACTTTCCTGTGACTGGGCCAGGCCAGCTGACTTCTGTTTCCCCTGTGGTCCCTCCAGACCCTCTCTCCCAGCCAGACCTGATCTTTGCAGAAAAGGGGAAGGGACAGATCAAGATGTAGGATTTGCATCTCCCACCATTACACAGGCAGCTTCCTCTCGGGGCCTCTGAACAGCTCAATCTTTTCTTCTCACCTCATTCTCTGAGCTGATTCCACCTGTGGTATAACTATGTCACTGGACACTGAAGAAGAGGGTCCCTGAGCAAGTCCCTGTGGTCCCCCAAGCACCTCTGGGCAGAAGTAGAGGAGTGGAGGGAGCACCCAGCTGGGAGCAGCATCCTGGCCCTAGCCCTGCCACTAGCGCTGTGTGGCTTTAGCCAAGTCCTGTCTCTCTCTGTGCTTGTCCTCATGGACACAGCAAGGCAGCACCGGACAACAAGGGCTCTGGACAGGGCAGGACAACTGGCAGTCAGGGAGACTGGCCTATACCAGACTCCTGGTGGATGTCCTTTAGCTTCTGTAGGATGTCTAATGCACGCATGCGCCCGCAACCTTAGGAGGGTGGGGCCAACATCTTCTACGTCCACATGGAGAGAATTGAACTCACGAGAAGCTCAAAGTCACGCCACTGGGAAGCAGCAGAATTGTGGAGAGGCCATGACTGGTTGCTTCAAAGTGTCCTTGCCTCATGGGAGGAGGGAGAGGGAAGAAGGGAGGAGGGAGAGGGAAGAAGGGAGGAGGGAGAAGGAAGAAGGAAGGAGGGAGAAAGGGGTAGGGGGGGAGGGAGGAGAAAGGAAGAAAGGGTGCCCACAAGCTCTGTGTGGGGCAAGGAGGCTTCCACAGACGGTGGGCAGCAGCCCGACCCTGAGGGGCGGCACTCCAGGGAGGGGGGTAGGTGATCCCAGGAGGGGTGAGGTGGGAGAAGGGCTGAGTAACACAAGTCTAGAGGTGAGGAACCATAGTGTCTGCCTTCTAGGGCTAAGGGGCATCACTGGGATGGAGTAGAGAATTCGTGCCCGATCACATATGTCGCTTAAATGTGCAAGAGTCTGCCTTGGAGGTTTATTTTTAAAAAATCTAGAAGAAAATGGCATGTGTTATTGATATGTTTTAAGCTAAAGTGTTTTGGTGAAGAGATTATTTTTGGTGTAAAAAGAAAGATCATCCTTCTCATTTTCCACAGACTAGGAGCCAAAATTGGTGTGAACCCGGGTGTGTAATCACCAGCTGGTGACAGGGTTCCTGAACTACTGGCTCCCTTGGAAGGCGTGGGGGCAAGTGAAATGGTGAGAAGCCAGCCACGGGACCCCTCAGGTCACCCAAACACAGGCTCACATGCACGCCTACCCACCTCATCCCCAACCCCATGCTCAAGGTCAGGTGCAATGGGTCCAGGACTCTGAGAACACTTCTGGGTCTCCCCATGTCGCTATAAGGGATTTCTTGGAAACACGGAGCAGCCTCCACAGCTCTTCCCCACAGGAGGTCAAACTCCCAGGCACTTCCACGTCTACTCGAGGAACTGGACTAACCTTTCCAGAAGGTCCAGGATTGAGCAGTGCTCTGAGGCTACAACTCAAAATAAAAATAACTCAAAACCACAAAACACAAAAACCTATGTATATATTAAAGTAGAGGGCTTCTTTCCAGATTTTCTGCCTTCAGAGCTCTTGATTTACATATTTCATTCGAGTAGAATTTGTCTCCTTCTTTGCAGCTGCTGTCTGACTCTGCGGGTGCCCTGGGCATGGCCCCCTGGATTTGGCTTGTGCCCATCCTTCCTCCATGCACACTCTTGGAATGCCTTCCACTCCCACTCAGGCTTAACACCCAGTCTGAATGGAAAGTGATTGTTCTGCAGCTCCTTCCCCCGTCCCCTGGGGCGGCCAGGCATTTCCACCTTCCCCCAGCTTCACACCTATCTCCTTTCCTCTCCCGCTATGAAAAAACCGATGTCATTGTGCACTATGGATTCTACCAGAAGCCTTTTCTCTGCTCTAGAGTGCATGTCTCTGAAGTCATATTCACCTTCTATCCTTTCTGGTTAGTCTAGCACATGGTATACAGCAGGCGGTTCCATTTGTGTAGGAAGGAAGGAAGGAAAGGAAAGGAAAGGAAAGGAAAGGAAAGGAAAGGAAAGGAAAGGAAGGGCACTTGTTCTGGAAACCTTCCTGATTCACTCCAGATCCAAATGCCCACTTTCTGGGGGAGAAGGATAAGGGCTTACCCCGTGGTCAGGGACTCAGACCACCTCTGAATGGTGCCCCTGCTCAGCGCGGTGATGACTGTGTCCATCTTTCCCTCTTCTGGGAGGACAAAGAAGACAGTCTCATTGCCCATGTACTCCAGTTGGACCAGCTGACAGGGGAGCACTGGGTCTTGAAAGTACTTGATGGGGCCCGACTGGACCATCATGGGCACTCTCACCACGGTGGTCTCGTTCACGTAAAAGTTTTCCTCCCTGGTGCTCTCCAGGTTGAAGGGCCGTTCCCATGTGCCTGGGAAGGAAGGGAGAAAGGAGACAGGCCTGTGAGAGCCGGAGGAAAACACAGTTTGGGTGGCCACAGAACACTAAGCAGGTGTCATGGCAGCCGCTCCCTGGAAGGTCCCCGCCAGAGTGGCTAGAATTTTCTGATAAGTTGTGAAATGCCCAGAAATTTAAAGCTTATTCTGTCCTCTACTTCTTGAGCTGGGTTGAGGATTATTAACTCTGTTTTTGAGCCTCTAAAAAATGGAAGGAGGGAGACAAACGAGAATACCCTTGGAATTGGGGGTAGAATTTATTAAGCCAGACTTTGCCTGGCTGCCCCCCACCCCCCGAGCCTAGGGTGGATCCTAGACAGGAGAGTTCTGGAAATGGTGCCAGATGGAACTTGGGCTGCAAATTCAAGGTCGGGGTGGGAGAGGTTTGGAGAAACGGACCACCCATTCCATGCCCACGCCTTGACGTCTGGCCACAGAAGCCCATCAGGCAGCCTGGCTGCCCAGCAGATTGTGTTCACTGCCTTGAGGGAGGCTCCTTACCTTCTATGTGGCCCCAAGGCAAAGTCAGGATGAGACGATGCCTTCAAGCTCCCACTCTCCAACCCACAGTTGGACTTGAATCCTTCCCCCATGCTCCACAATGACATCACACAGCCTCTTTGTCTGCCTGGTGATGGGGAACTCACTACTTTCACAGACCAGGCTTTCATTACTGGTCATCTTTCATGGAAGGTCGATTGTTCCTTAGAGCCAAAGCCTGCCTGATTGTGAGGCCCGTTTGCAGAGCCTCTTTGGCCCTTCTGGGCTTATTCTAAGCAACTATGAGTTTTCTCACAGGTGACAGAATTCTGGATGTTTAAAGACATGGGTGGACCTCACCAGGGCCTCCAATGCTCTAAGTTAACTCCCCAGGTCCGGAGGACCCCCCTGGGGGTCCCAGGTGTCTGTCCCTGGGAGTCCTTGTGAGGTCTCTGTTTCCCAGCTGAGGCTGCCTGAGGGTGGCCAGTGCTGAGCTCCAGGCAGACCCTTCTCCATCCCACTGCCTGCAGGGTCTGTGGACCCCAAGGCCAGAACTCTTGTTCTGACCCAGCCTCAACCCTCCCTGTAGGGGCTGCTAAGGGAGGCAGTAGGGAGAGATGTGAGGATGGAGGGAAAGGGCTGTGGATGTGGAGCTGGAGACCCTGAGGCTGTGCCTGTTCCACACCATGACTGAGTGTGATGTCACAGTCTGGCTGTCTGGGCCAAAGGTGGTGGTGTTTTGTGACTAACTTGTCCAACTCACAGCGAAAAAAAAAAAAAAAGTGAGTATTTTTCAGTGTTAGGTTTTTCATCCTTAAAAGTTTGCTATTGTTTTTTCCTGAGTATATCTTTTCTAGAAGAAAATGTAGCATATCCAGTTGGGCACAAAACAAAATACAGAATGGGGTCTAACCTCTACTTTAAGAGGTTCTTCTTGAAAATTCTCAAGCCAGAAGGCCTTGTGGTAGGGAAACTTAAGAATTTATGGGGGCAAATTGGAGAGAGCAAAGAAGATTCCTGATACAGGATATCACTCCAGATATGAGACTGGAAAGGACAGAGAACTAGATGACTTTTAGGCCAGGGTTTCTCAGCCTTGGGACAATGGCCATTCTGGAGCAGATATTATTGTGGGAGTTGTCCTGTTTTGCAGCACTCCCTGGCCTCTACTTGCTAGATGCCAGGAACACACCCCACCCCACCCCACCCTCAACTGTGACAGCCCAAAATATCTCTAGACATGGTCTGAACGTCTAGACCACGTTCTAGACCCTGAAGGGGGTTGAAGATCACCCTGGGTTGAGAACCAGTGCTATCAACTAAGGAGCAGAGATTTTCTTCTCAAGGACAATGTATCCCCAAATTGTGTGTTCATAAAAATGATTGGGGGCGGGGCTTGTTAAAAACACAAATTCTAGGACTTTCTTGCAGAAACTTTGCTTCAGTGGGTCTGGCATGGTCTCTGGAATCTATAATTTTAACAAGTTGCCATGGTGATTTTTACGCACAAGAACTTTGGAAAACCCTGCTTCAAATTGATGAGGACAAGTTGAAGTTTGGCTAAGATGGGACTTGGTCAGAGCTGGCTGTGAGTGCTGGGGAAGTGTGTGGTATAGGGTCCATCTGGGGGGAGTTCCTGGGGGGCAGAGGCTATGTCTGTCTGGTCATAGGCTGTGTTTCCAGCTCTTGGCCCAGTGCCTGATGCACAGCCAGCACTCAGCCAATATTTTTCGACCATGAGTCAGCCAGTCTGTTCATGATTACATGTTTGGCCTCAAAAAAACCTGTAAGAGCTTGGGCAAGTTGCTCAATTCTTTTGGGTGTCATTTTGATCGCTTATAAGATGAGATATTCTACTTTCCTAATAGGATTATGGTGAGGATGGAGATTTACAGTTGAAAGTGTGCTTTGTAAGATCAAAGGCCTTGTCCAAGAATGCAGCCTGGGTTTTGATGGCTCTTACTATTCTTGGCAATGGGGTGAGTAGGGGGGTACCTTTGAAGAAAATGTAGTTGACCAGGATGAGCATGGCTGAACTATCCAGCTTTGAAATCAAGTCCACAATTTTCCCTTGTGTCTTATTTTTGATATACTCATTGATTTGTCTGCTGGCTCCAGCCCCATCCTTGAAATCTGTAGCCAAAGCCTCCAACTCATAGTAGTGCTTGGTGTCTGCTGAGAATGACTCCAGAAGCTCCAGGCTGCGGTCAAGGAACAAAGCATTACCCATAACCATTTCCAACATGGTGTCTGACTCCTTCTCGAAGAGGTGGTGGAGGTGCTTAAAGCCCTGGTGAATCTCAGCTTCAGATATATTGGTGAGGTTGAAGCCCAGGCCTTGGAGGAGTTGGACCCGTGTGTGGCCACAGGATCCCAGAGACAGCATAGCTAAGGCCATGGAGATGCTCACAGGGGAGATGAAGACATTCTTTCCAGGAGCTGAAGCCACAAGATGCCTATATAGGATAAAGGCAAAGTCAACATTGTTTGGAGCCAAGTCCCGGTGAGGGCTCCTCTTGCTCACATCAGTATCTGGGTCCTTAGCCTGGACGGTCCAGAGGTCACTGGTGGACAGCCAGAGGAAATAGGTGCACAGGGAAAGCAGCATTGTCCAAGATGGTCAGGCCCTGCAAAATCAGGAATTCTCATTAGATAATGTAGGGTCTCCAAGGCAGTGAGGCATGGTGAAATGGTGGGCAGAAGACCCTGTGAAACACCCTACTCAAGCCTCACTTCCTTTCTCCACATTGGCTGTGTGACCTGGGACAGCTCAGGACTCTGGGACTCAAATTCCTCACCTGAAAGTATGATGATGCCTGCTATGATTTTTCAAGTACCTACCCAACACCAGGTATCAAGACACCCAACACCGACCTATGTGTTTTACTTATATTTTCTCAACTAACCCTCACTAACAAACTAATAAAATAGGTATTATTATTATGATTTGAGGTAGGTAGAAATGGAAGCCCAGAGGGGTGAAATATCCTACCAATTGATATATTCAAAGAACTGAAAGGAAAAAACTCTCAACCAAGAATCCTGGATCTGGCAAAACCATCCTTCAAAAATGAGAGAGAAATCTAGACATTCCCAGATAAGCAAAAGCTGAAGGAGTTTATTACCACTAGGCCTCTCCTGCAAGAGATGCTAATGGGAGTCCTTCTGGCTAAAATGAAAGGACACTAGAGAGTAAATATAATCTATAGGAAGAAATAAAAATCTCTGGTAAAGGTAAATATATGAGCAATTAGAAAAACTCATATTATTGTAATCTTGCTTGGTAACTTCACTTTTTATTTTTGATATGATTTAAAAGACTAATCTATGAAAAGCAATTATTAGTCTATGTTTTTTGGATACACAACGAATAAAGATGTAATTTGTGACTTAAATAACTGAAAGAATGTGGGGATCGAGCTACATAGGTGTGGGGCTTTCGTATGCTATGAAAGTGAAGCTGGCGTAAATTCAAATGAGAGTGTTATAACTTTAGGATGTTAAATATAATTTCCATGGGAACCAGGAAGAAAATAGCAACAGAGTATGCACAAAAGGACATGAGAAGGGAATTAAAATGCTTCACTACAAAAAAATCAATTAAACATAAAAGAAGATAGTAATGCAGGAAATGAGGGACAAAAAAAAAAAATCCATAAGGCATTTAGAAAACAAATAGGAAATGGCAGAAGTCCTTCTTTATTAGCAATTACTCTAAATATAAATGGATAAAATTCCCCAACTGAAAGACAGAGATTGGCAGATGGATTTAAAAAATGATCCAACTATGCACTGACTACAAGAGACACATTTTAGATCCAAAGACATCATTATGAATGTGGAAGGATGGAAAAAGATAATACAAATAAATAGTTACCAAAAGAGAGTGGGGTAGCAGAAGGAAGGAAACAATAAAGATTAGAGCACAGATATGTAAAATAGAGAATAGGAAAACTAGAGAAAATCAATGAAACCAGGATATAATATATCTAATTGATATAGTATAATATACTATGATGATATAGAATTAATATAATATGGTCTTCAAAAAGGTGAACAAAATTGACAAACCTTTAGCTAACTGAGTAAGAAAAAAAGAGAAGTCTCAAATTACTAAAATCAGAAATGAAAATGGGGACTTTACTGCCAATTCTTACAGAAATAAAAATAATTATAAGAGAGGCTGCTGGGGGGCACCTGGGTGGCTCAGTCGTTAAGCGTCTGCCTTTGGCTCAGGTCATGATCCCGGGATTCTGGGATCGAGCCCTGCATCAGGCTCCTGGCTTGGTGGGAAGCCTGCTTCTCCCTCTCTCACTCCCCCTGCTTGTGTTCCCTCTCTCGCTGTGTCTCTCTGTCAAATAAATAAATACAATATTTAAAAAAAAAAAGAAAAAGAGAGGCTGCTGGGTGGCTCAGTTAGTTAAGTGTCTGACTCTTGATTTTGGTTCAGGTTTTGATCTCAGCGCCCTGGGATTGAGCCCTGCATCAGGCTCCATGCTCAGTGGGGAGTGTGCTTGAGATTCTCTCTCTCTGTCTCCCCTCTGCCCCCTGCTCTCTAAAATAAAAATAAATAAATTTTAAAAAGAATTATAAGAAAATATTACAAAAAAAATTAAACACCAACCAACTGGATAGCCTAGATAAAATGAAATAAATTCTGGAAATGCAAAACTTACCAAGACTGGATCACAAGAAATGGAAAATCTGAATAGACCTGTATGTAGTAAGAAAATTGAATCAGAATTGAAAACCCATAAAAGAAAGCCCTGGACCAAATGGCTTAACCACTGAATGCTACCAAACATTAAAGAAATCACATGAATCCTCCTTCCAAAAAAACCAGAGTGGAGGGAACATTTCCTAACTCATTCATTGCCCTGATACCAAAGCCAGATAAAGATGCTGTAAGGACAGAAAAGTACAGATGAATAATTGCCCATGAACATTGATGCAAAAATCCTCAACAAAAAACTAGCAAATAGAATTCAGCAACATACAGCATGGCCAAGTGGGGTTTATTTCTAGAATGCAAGGATGGTTCTATATACAAAACTCAACTATAGCATTATAACAGAATGAAGAAAAAAAAAAGACTATGATCATCTCACTTGATGCAGAAAAAGCATTTGGCATAATTCAACACACCCTTTCAAGATAAAAACACTCAACAAACTAAGGCTAAAGGGAAACTACTTCAATATAAAAAAAAAATTGTAAAAAGCCACAGCTCATGGTGAAAGATTGAAAGCTTTTTATCTAAGATTCCCAGAGCAAGGAAGGATGCTTACTTTTGCCTCTTCTGTTTAACACAGCACTGGAAGTCCTAGCCAGAGAAATTAGGCAAGAAAAAGAAATAAAAGATATCCATGTTTGAAAGGAAGGAGTAAAATGATCTCTGCCCATGGGCAACCTGATCAACATCATAGCCACATGCAGAAAACCTTGAAGATTCCATAAAAACCCTGCTGGAACTAAGAAATGAATTCAACAAAGCAGCAGACTACAAACCCAGCACACACACACACACACACACACACACACACACACACACACCACATCAGTTCTCATACTAACAATGAACAAACTGAAAAGGAAATTAACAATTATGCTATTTACAATAAAATAAAAAAAGAACGATTTCTTGGACATGACATTAAAGGCACAAACAAGGGGCGCCTGGGTGGCTCAGTGGGTTAAAGCCTCTGCCTTCGGCTCTGGTCGCGATCCCAGAGTTCTGGGATCGAGCCCCGCATCCGGCTCTCTGCTCAGCAGGGAGCCTGCTTCTTCCTCTCTTTCTCTGCCTGACTCTCTGCCTACTTGTAATCTCTGTCAAATAAATAAATAAAATCTTAAAAAAAAAAATAAAGGCACAAACAACAAAAGGAAAATTAGACACATTGGATTTTCTAAAATCAAAAACTTTTGATCACCCAAGGACACTATCAATAGAGTAGAGAGGCGACCCACAAAATGAGAGGTAATATTTGAAAATCCCATATCTGATAAAGGGTTAATATCCAGATTACATAAAACTCAAGTTAAAAAAATTAAAAAAAATCTAATGCAAGGAATGGGCAAAGTTGTTGAGTAGACATTTCTTCAAAAGAAGATATACTGATGGCCAACAGGCACATGAAAAGATGTTCACATTAGAGTCATCAGGGAAACACAAATCAAAACCTCAATGAGATACAATTTATACCCATTTGCATGGCTGTTTCAAAAACTAAACCAAGTCAAACCACAAACAGCAAAACATAAAACAGGTGTTGGCCCGGATGTGGAGGAGCTGGAAACTCTGCATCTTTCTGGCGGAAATAAAGGGTATGACAGGTCCTCAAAAAATTAAATATAGAATTACCATGTGATCCAGAGATTCTTCTTCTGAGGAATTGGAAACAGGGACTTGAACAGATATTTGTACAACCTAGTGTTCACGATTGCGTTGTTCATAATAGCCAAAGCACCGGAAACACTTCAAACGTCCATCAGTAGATGAATGGATAATAAAAGGTGGTTGTATAAGGAAAACCTTCCCTGTGTTTCTCCTTTCCTCACACATAACTGCACGCTTTACTCTGACGCCAGAGATATGGGTTTCCCACACACCCATCAATTTACCCCCAGCTGAGGGGTAATGCCACTCAATTCCACAACGGATCTACAGTCCTACAGTGTAACTCAATTCTGACACTGTCCTCCTGGAGATAATGTCAGACCCCCTGGGTTAAGGGCTCAGTTCCCACAAGATTGCCCAGCCCCAACTTCAGATGCCAATCACAAGTCCCAGATTGTCACCCTGTCCTTTTGACTGGCTATAAATCAGGGTTCCTGAGACTTTATTTTTGGTTTGATTATTTGCTAGACTGGCTCACAGAGCTCAGGGAAACACTTATGTTTACTGGTTTATTACAAAGGATGTAATAAGAGATTTAGAGGGTGAGGTCCAGAAGGGTTCTGAGCACCAGAGCTGGTGTGGGCCACCCTCTTGGCATACAGATGGGGTCACTGACCCAGAAGCTCTCTAAACCCTGTATTTTGGGATTTTGATGGAAGCTTCATCATGCAGGCAGCATGGATGATTAACTTCAGCACCTCTCCCCTTCCCAGAGAAAGGAGGGTGGGGCTGAAAATTCCAAGCTTCTAATCATGGCTTGGCCTTCCTGGGACCAGCCCCATCCTGACGCTCTCCACGCCACCTACCAAAATTCACCTCATTAGAAGGAAAGATGCTGTGGTCACCTGGGAAATTCCAAGGGATTTAGGAACTCTGCATCAGGGATCATGGGCAAAGACCGAATGTTAGAGCAAGAGATGTTCCTGGTGCTCTTATCACTTAGAAGGGTTTTAGGAGCTCCATTTCCTTAGTACAATACAGAGTCAATAATAATACCCACCACTGGCCTTGCCCATCTGCCATTCTGATCTTTTGATCTTTGTTTCCCCTGCACCTGTCTCAGTCCACCATCCAAGTCTGGGGCCTGTCACCTCTTCCAGCATCAGCGGTCACCTCTACCTGGTCTCTTGTCCCTGCTCAGCTCCCTCCCACCCTTTCTCCCCTCTGTAGCCAGAGGAGGCATCCTTTCTAAAGCTGATTGGCCATTCTCC